AGTGATTAAAATCTGTCACTCCTACCCTCACAAAGTATCTCATGTTCTTATTATGGAAGTCTCCAGGAGGTAGCAATAGGTACAGCAGAACTTCACACAGGTCTCGTAAAAACCCTTTGCCATACAGAAAGAAAAAGAAATCATTACAATCACAACAACAACAACACAGATGGTAATAGATATCAAACACAAATTTCATCAGAATCCTTTGAATAAACTAAAGGACTTCTTTAGGTCAACATCAGACTTTAAATGGACAGCCACACCAGTTTTAAACGTCATACTAACCTTTGACAAAATGTTTTTGTTTTGTCATGACAATTTCAGGAAAGGTCAGAGATGGAGGTAATGAAACCTACAGGGATTCAGAATATTCAATGACAATAACTCAGTCAGGCGTCACTGCCAAGCCTCCACTGTTGTCCATCTTTCCACCAGCTTCGTCCTTTGTGAAATTCATGCTGACATTCTTTGAAATTACCAACCTTCTTCATCTTTTGGCGATGTGCACACGAGGTCTCGACAGATCTTCCTCTCCATTTCTACTTCAGCTTCAAAGAAGGAGTCGATAAGCTCTTCGGGTGCATCTCCTGCAACAATGCAACCGTGTTAGAAAACTCAGGTGTGACCTCTGCTTTTACATAAATATTTCATTCTTACGAGAGCTGCATCTTTTTCCTTCCTGGGAAGGACAGTGAGCATTTAAAACTATCATCAAAGAAACAAAAATACAGACAATTGTTGAATCCTGTTCCAATACTGTTTTCAATATATTTGGGAAATGCATATATCAGACAATCTAACAGAAACTGACAAGTGAAAAGTTAAACATGTTTAATTAAAACGATTAAAGTAAGTAAACTTAAGCTATTAAAGACAGGCACACAGATGTTACTTAAATGCAGGCACAGGAACTGCAATCTGAACAGTAAAGGAATGGCACTTGGGGTATCTTATCAGAACAAGCTTTTTGCAAGACAAGCTGAGGTAGCAGTTCTGTCAAAGGCATACTGTACCCTTATGTTGTTTTTGATCCTCTTTTTCTGTCAGCCTTTCTTGAGCTTTTCTGAAAACCTTAAGATGGGTTGCAAAGTCATCCACTAATCTTGTTGTGAAATAAGGCTGCCAGTCCACATCTTTTGACCTGCAAAAATACAATAACAGCTCTCACACATGCCGTTTGAATATCACCGTTTCCCTTCAAAACGTAAGCTGGAAGGACACTTGATATCAAGACTAAAGGGTTCACAGCTCCAAAATACCTGGTGGAAAACTGGACCAGTGCGTTTTGTACAGTTTGTCTGATTTCAAGATGAAAAGATTCATCATCACTGAGCGTGTAATACCAGTATTGAATATAGTCTCTCAGGGCAAACTGGATTACCTATAAAGTAAAAAAAAAACACAAATGACATATGAAATATAAAAAAACAAATAATCCAAATTACACATTATAGAAAACTATTATTTAACCAGAAGGTGTTAACTTAGAACTATTTTAAACAGAATAATGTCTGCAACAAGGCTAATAATTACACTGACAAACAAGTACTCTTAATGCAGCAAACAACTCGTGTGGCTACTGTTCTTCCTCATTCAGCTTGCTTAGTCACATCTCTGAGAATAAAACAATTACAACAACAAACAACAGGAGACCTCAGACCAAACCTGTGTAAGTTTAAGTAGTGCTGCAGAAACAAAAAGCATGAAAGCACACCAGAGAAAAATGCAGGGTGAATATCAGAAGAATGGGATTGATCAGATCCTTATTGTAGAGTTTGGACATTTAAAGATGAAGAGTCTGATTACTGGCCTATGAGTCCTAGATGTCACACATTGGCTCAAGTATAGTAAATAGAGCATCCACTGTGCAAGTGGTACCCTCTCATCTTGCAAGACAGCGGTTCTTACACAATATGAAGACTTGCACTGCCCTGTCATGTTAAAGTAAGACTGCAGGTGAGCTCCCATCCTTGAGCAATGAAGAGCCACACAGTGAGGTTGCCCTCAAGAAAAGGACAAATTTACAAAGAAAAAAAAATGTTGTACCAGGTGCACTGATATTTTTTTGTTAAACAGACGTGACTTGGATAAAAGCACCATGATAGATAACGTTTGTCTAAAACCACGGTGATTGTCAGGGAGCCTACTGTGAAGGTACAGTAGCTGCACGCGGCCATCGCTGAACATATGCTTTGCACGGTGAGGTGGGTGCACTCTTTCAGGACTCTGTCCCGCTCCTCTTGTAGAGTACGAACCAGTGCGTGCCTTTTTACTGGTCTCGGAGCCCTACATGCCACTTTGCGCCAGTTCTATTTGCGCCAGCAAGTTTAGTGAGAGAGGTGTCCAATCACATCCTAAGGGAATGTAGAATCCACATGGCGCCCCAGTCAGGATTGTTTCCAGTCTGTTCCAAGGAGCCAGACGGCCCCAGTTCATCTCTGGTTTAACAGGTGAACACTTCATCCTGGCAGGTTAACCCCATTTCCTGAACATCTCTTGAAAGTTCGGCGCTTCAGAAGGTAGTGTTACTGACATGTGCTCAGGCCTACCTGTTGTAGTGGTTCATCAATGATATTGGAGCCTGTCAGTCTTCGATCAATCTTTATCGGCTTTGCCTCCTGTCTCAGCTCTTCCAATGTCTTTTTAAAAATAAAAAATAAATATCTTAACTTAGAAAAAGAATTACAAGCACAGAATATAAGTACTTGAGACACAACAGTAAAATCTGTCTCCTAAATCATAATAATAATCGTTTAGAGATTCTTACCTTAGCTATACCAGTTGGTGTAACAGGAAGAAAAGAGTGTTCACACTTCTCAAGATATTTTTCCGAGCTTGTTTTTCCAAATAAAAGAGTAACTACAAAACCTCTGCAAAACAGGCAAAATAGTTTGATATCAATGCAAACAATATGGAAATAGTACAAAGTACATTGGAAACTAAAACCAATGAAAAACAGCCATTCACTTGGCATTAATGGAATATTCATTAAGAATAACTAATCTCTGTGTCACTTTGATTTTACTTACATTCTGTGCTTGATACCAAGATAAAAACTTAATCTGTTACCCTGACAAATACATAAAGTTTGTGTTTGCAGGCTTAACATTCTCTGCATGTGGAAGTTAAAAGGCTATATGGAAATGTAACTATTATTCTTTTGAGCTCTGCAGTACCTGTGCGTATAGCCTGGCAATAAACATGTACAGCCTGAACAAAGGGTAAGGATTCAGAAAGGGGATGTGGTTTTCTGGGACCTGTGTGTTCAGAAATTGGCAACACTTACAGTACTATTAATGTGGAAATTTCACAATTAATTTATTTCACAAATAATTAATTGTGACAGGAGTCATTTTTCAGCGTGTGCTCTCTGAGAGATTGCAAAGAACGTTTCTTGTAGACATCATACTCACCCACCAACAAAGCAGAGGATATAAAACGCAAAATAAAATATTGCAAAAGGCCCAAATGTGATAAGAAAAAGCACTACACCAAGGCCTCCCCATCCCCATATGGAAAGACTGGCCTGAAAAATATATGGAGAAAAAAGCTCAATTACTGATCCACAGTGAAACACAATGATAAACATATTTTGCTCAGTATATTTTACATTAAGCTGCCAATTCAGTTAACTCCCCAAGATACCTTATCATAATTGGTATCCTTATACTAAACTGCAAACAGCAAAAGAAATTTAAGTGATATTTAAAATAAACTTTTCCTCGTATCTAAGTTTACTCCAAATCTCATTAATATAACCAATAACAAAGTAATGACTGCAAAAAAAGCATTAAAGGCAGAGGGAAATGCTTCAGTATTTTTTTCTTGTAATTATTCTTAAAAACATGTGAGATTTTCCAGAATGAATAAAAGATGAGTATGAACTTCAAAAATCATCCTACTAGTACACAACAATAGCAGTGCTCCAATGAATAATTAATCCTGTTCAATATACTCCACAAATCTGTCATCTAAGATACAGAAAACAAAGCTAAAAAGGTAAACATCTTTTGTTTAGCATATCTGTACTAGCAGGACATGTTTTGATGTATAATTTACACCATCATTTAAAAATAAAGACAGAACAAACTTCCATGCACCTCAGTAAAAGAGTTCCTGCATTGTGCCACAGTCTCTGCAGTAAACAGCTGCCCTATGCTTTAGGCTGCCTACAGTCATTAACTGTATCTGCCCGGTTCAGTGTACAGTGCAAAGATGTCAGAAAGCACAAAACAAAAGCTGCAAGCTAAGAACTAAAAACAGGATGTTTTGTAATTCATTAGCAACAAAACTGTCCAGTTCCTAAAGTAGTATGAAAACAGTTCTACTGGATATGAATATTTTCTGCTGAAACTCCAATACTATCCTTTACCGTTTTCCCCAAGGAACAGGACAAAGAAATGGACAGGGGATTTTGTTAATATCCTTGTTTTTAAGTAAAGGTTTAACTTAGTGAGCCTTGCACAGATTCATTTCTAAAGGGGACTTCCCTTGCATGTGACTTCCTTGCGATTGGCAGCCGGACATATCAACAGAAAAATAAAACATCCATTATGCAGCCATCTCCTATACGTGATACAATTCTTTGCCACAATATTCAGAATATGCATGAATGGTCATACCTCCTAACCTAAAGCACATACCATACCACTGATCTGATTACCACTGATAACACAAAAACATATGGTAAACAATTTTAATCCACTCAACATTCATAAATTAGACTACAATTAATGCTTGGACTGAATTTTTTTTTTTTAATCGTCCTACGGAGAATAATGCAGAAAAAACGCATCACACTGCAGTCTTCACTCTACGGGGCTTGACACTAATGGTAATGCAGACCAGTGGTCCCTGATCTGTAAAATTTGAGCGGCACAAACTTGTGTTGTGCAAACACTGCCTGAGCTAGCAGAACAAGCCCCTTTTATAGGTAAAGTACAGCCTGGCTTCATCACTACTGTATGCAATTAAAATCCCATTTTAGCATGCAGTTAAAAGGGCTAACTGAAGGGAAAATATTTTAGTTAATAACTGTTGTAGCCTGTTACCAATGCACAAACTACAAATGCATCTGCAGACTACAGGTGAATGTAATTTTTCCTTTATGTTCGCTAATATCTTGAGAATATTTTAAGGTGATTAAACCTATATAAATATTATATATATTAAAATGTTTTTGATGTCATTGATGGAAAATGATTAAATTACCAATTATCACAGCTCACATCCTCTGTCAGGTACTGTGTGCATGTACAATACCAGCATTCATCAAGACCGTCCATTGTTTCTCCAAGATCATTGCAAATCTTTCACTCTTTCTTAGGAAATGCTACAATTTTTATCTACATCTGCACTATGTTCATCAAGGAACAACATGGTATACTGTACATATGAATAAGAACTATTTTAAATGGCAAAAATAAGTCCAGCACACTGAGAGACACTCCACTAGCAGTCCCTGTGATGTAACCGGTTCTGAAGATGGGTCAGTCGGGGAAGAGGACTGTTACTGGGGTGCAGCCAGTAGGTCAGACTGGTACTTCCTGTCTGGAGGAGAGGTTACCCACCCAGGAACATCAAATCACACACGTGCGTCGTGCCCTTGTTGTGCCCATCGAAAGAGGGCGTTTGTGCGCCCAGGCCTTCGCTGGAGGAAAAGGCGCAAGTACAGCGGTCTTTCAGCGGACACTAAATATCCAAGCCGAGAAAATACAGGAGAAGCTCTTCCATGTGTGAGCCGAAGACCTGCTTGTGATTCAGATTCAGTCTGCTAAACACTTGATTCTGCGTACCTCACTTCACTTTTGAACTCAGCATTGCACAGTCAACACAACCAGCCTGCTACAAATGCTACTATGGGTTTCTAAAGAGACAATTCGTAATTCTGCACCTATCATGAAAAAACAGCATTCACATAAATGTTGCTTCTGGTTCAGTACAGTATCTCTACCACAGACCAGGAAAAATGTTTATGGAGCATATGCTAAGAGCAACAGACTTCCTGTTATTGTGAATCCAGGAAACCAAGTCGCTGAACTTGCTGGTAGACTGACTACAGCACGGCTTGTCTCCTGGAAACGTTTTCGAACACGTTTCCCTTCTTAAAAAACAAGCTCTTCAGCACTTTTTCCTCTTTCTGGCCAACATGAAGTATACATGGCATTGCAAATTGAAAATTATTGTGAAAAAATAAAAAAGGGCAAAAAAGAAGTCAAAAGCTTACAATATTATTTTTGTGAAAATAATATTAGGGCACAATTGTAAGAGGGGATGTAATTAAGGACTTTGATTACCACAGGAAAAGAAGTACAGAATATTATGAATGATGCTGGTTAGAGTAAAGTTGCCGAGACATTAAAGAACATAAAAGAAACACTATTACAAACTAAACTCTAAAGATTCTTAAAGCACTAAACTCAAAGAAAGAACAGAATCAACTGAACCAAACAAAAAAATGTATATATAAGATATATAAAATAATATAAAAATACATCATATGAAAAGTAAAAAGTGACAGAGATACAGAAATCAACACTGCTGGAATGTTTGCTAAAGCAAATTGGATTTCTTTGCAGAAATTCTAAACCTGATTAAGCAGAAGAATTCAGCAGTACAATAGACTTCGACTTTTATCCTTTTTAAACAAACACTCCTTGGAAAGGAGATTTTTAACTCCATGTGACTTCTTTTCCAAAGAACGATTACGAAACCTGAAGCAAAACTAGAGAAGGAATTAAAAGCGAACTCATAAGGAATATATACTGTATAATGGATCACTGCCGGAGTGCAGGACTTATCCAGACTAATTAGGATCATGTCTTTTCAGTGTAAAACGGGGAAAAAAAAACTACTCATACAAAAGTACAATAAATCAAGTTCAATGTGAATTTCTTCAGGATGTAAGTAATCAACCTGCCCCACCATTATTAATAGCGCCTAGAGGTTGGACAACACCTGCGTTTAGAGTAAGTATTTAAGCTGCTGCCTCCTCTGTGAGATTACTTCACCTTCTTGTGAGGCCCAAATCTGAACCATATCAATACAAAGTCAGTGATTCATGCCAAGAGAAGGTCATTTCCTGTAACAGGATTTGAATACAGTGCAAGTAAGTCAGAGTGCCAGATAACTCCTGAAACAATATACAATATTCTTATGCGCTGCGTCCTTGATGGCGAAAAAAAGAACAGGGTGGTTATTACACTTTGGATACAATCAGCTGTATGGTTTTATCTCATCTTAACTTAAGGAGAAGCCTTTTTATCTTTTCACAACATTTCAAACTCACAGAAATGAGTTTCAAGTTTTTTTTTTTTTAATTCTTGCCTTTCGTCTACCAATCTGACACGTCCGACGTGCGCTGTGGCTTGAGCCCACTGACTCCCTTTCTCTTGTATTCTGTACTTGCATACAGGCGTGACATTATAGGACCCGCAAGGAATTTGTACATTTAAGTACAAAAAACATTAGAAAAGTTCACTCTATATACTAATATAAAAATTGATTTGGTTTCTGTCAAGTGTTAAACCAATACAACAGCAAATGGGAGTATCAAGTACACAAAGGAGCATTATTAAATTGGGCATTGTATGGAACTGTACTGCAAAAAATGGTCATCTTTGTTTTGAAGTCATTAAAAAGTGTTTAAAGCAACAAAGATCTCTAAATATTTGGTAGGGTAAACTGTAAGTATTCTTACTCAAGAAAAAAAAACTTAATGTACAAGAAACATCCTTAAATAGCCACAGCATCTCTAGGGCATGCTGCGTCACAAATTGGTAATGTTGAAATCATACTTATAGCAAGAAAACGAAAGAAACTTTAAATGATCACTTGAGCGCTTTTAGTATTATGACTGGCAAATGACCTTGAAGTAGGTCTGAGAGAACCCACTGTTCTTTCAAATGTAGATCGGGTTTACCACACAGTAAAGCTTTATCATTATGTAAATGTTAGATTCAAGTATTCAAATGTTTCCATTACAGTAAAGGGCACAGTGAACAAAGATGAAAGGTTCACACTTTCTATCACTTATTATGCTAGACTTAACCCATTGTTTTACAGGTTTAATAAAGTGAAACTCAACATTAAAACAACGGTCTGCACCTAATCCTCTCTGAAGCCCATGCACCCTAACATGTACACTGAAGAGTAATCCTAACAAAACAATATTAACAGAGACATCTGTATGTCCTATTAGCCAATTTCCTACTTGTTTTCTATCACAGTAAAAGCAATTTGATCTCCATGATTGTGCTCTAAAGACTCTCTTCAGAGCGCAACAATATTTGCCATGATATCCTGCTGTATCCAACCGACTGTAAGTAATGTCCAGATTTTCAGTTTTGCTGTTAATAAACACCTTTAGGCAATTTCTACATGCACAGTATCTGAATTCCGCATGAACTGCAAGACTTTAACAGTGAGAAATGGAAGGTTCTGATACCATTTTCACGGTTTAACATACAGAATACACTTAAGTTTTTTTTACTGTCAATCATCAAAGATTCCAGTCTCACTGAAATA